CTCCCATCTCTTTAAAAAAAAAAAAGCCCCCATTCACTGCTTCTGCCAGGTGGGGTGGAGGGTGATCCCCGCTGCCCCCCACTGCCCTACACTCTGTGGGGGGTTCTGCCAGGAGCCCCCCGAAGCCCCAACAGCCACTGCAGTAGCTGGTGAGTGGAAGCTTTAAAAAAAAAAAAAATTTCAAGAGCCAGGAGCTGGGACTGGGCAGGGCAGCCATGCGGGGGTGCTGGGAGAGTAGGCAGGGGTTGGGGGGATGCTCAGGGGGGCTGAGGGAGCAAGCAGGAGATGGGGCCTGGGGGGGTCCCCCCATGTTTCCTTCCCTGCTCCTCCAGCCCCCCTCCCCTGCCCCCTACTTACCAGCATGGAGTCCAGGTCCAGCTCCTTGCTGCAGCCACTAGGGACTGCCCAAACCGCCAAAGCTCTCTGAATCTTTGCTGAATCAATTCGGAGAGCTTTGAATCAATTTGGATCTTTTAATTGGTCCTCTGATTCAGATTCAGAGATTCAGCCACTGAACCGGGCTGAATCGACTCAGCGCCGAAAGCTTCACACAGCCCGAGTGCCTATGGCCCTGGTAGCTAGGGCTCTCTAGCTGTCTCCTGTAATGCGCCGCAATCATATGGTTCCCAGCATGCACTGGAGTACTTCAGTTAGAGGGTAGAGTGCAGTACACTGTGACAGATGTAGTCCAGCCTATAGAGGAGAATTAGGTAGTTTGAGTGCCCCAAGCCAGGTGAAGCAGGAGGTCTGGCAAAAAGGACTGATGCTGAAGCAAGTCAAAATTAAGCATTTTAATTTTGTTTGAAAAAATATGAAATGATTTAGGTCTAGGGTGGTGTCACCCAAAACAAACCCTTTTGTTTCAATGTTCCTAATAGAAAACTAACCAAAATAGTAAAATTTAAATTCTCCCATAGGAAAATTTGAGTTTGCAGTAACTTAATTTTTCATCAAGAAAAAAAGTAGAAAATCCCTACCTGATTTCAGTCTTCAGAGCTAAAAGAAAGGTTTGCCAGAACGTTACTCACTGGATGGTTAGAAGACGGCACTTGTGAGTAAGATTTTGAAACAGCCTTCCAGTAGGAGTATTGGGCAAATAAATCAAACCACTTAGATAAATGTTGCAGCACTGCAGAGAACTGGAATGAATGACCTAAGAGGCCTATGTCCAGTGTTGTGGAGTTTCTGAGAAAGAAGTCTTCAGTTCAAAACTGAATATATTTCTTTTTATGCTGTGGCACAGACAGGAGTTATGGGCTTGGTGAGGTTGTCTAATAAAGCAGAAGGTCAGACTGGATTATCATAATTATTCTTTCTAGCCTTAAACTATCTGAATTTATTAAAAAAAATAGGTACCATCATACTTGTAGAGAATATCCATATGTAAAACCTCCTCTCAGGTTGTAATGTCAGGGCAGCCTTCTCACACCGCTACTGAAACGCCAAGCACCTTGGACTTAAACTTTGACTTGATTTTCAAAAATGCCAAGCTCAGTTCACCCACAGTCTCTCTAATAGGATTCCTCATTGCTCAGCACCTCTGCAATCAGGCCATGACTGACAAACGAGATTTGCTCTCTCTGCTATTTGGGCCATCACCATACTAGGTGGCTGTTTTATTTAGGGTTCTCCACACATGGGAACGAAGGGGCTTGAAATGCATAATCC